TGACGGATCTGACAAATATTCCATATATAGATCCGTCAGTATTCTACGACTATGACGATATGTCTTATTGGGACTAGGGATACATCCCGCGGTTTTGTCCATGAGCAGATAGTGATGTTGAATAGCTTATAGCCTTCCTCAAGAAATGGTTATCAAATGCAAAAAAGATGTTTCCAAACTCTACTGGTACTTCCAGAAATTATCGCATACAAATAAACAAACTTATTCTTCAAAAGGGCAATAAAGAGGTTTCTTCAGGGTCGGCAACGCGCATGTAATACCTCTGGTATTGCAGGCGTTCATAGGCTACGGTAACCACTTACCATCAGTATGCTTGTTTGCCACCTCAGTGGTATAAAAAAAAACTTATTCGTAATATTATATTCATCATCATCATCATCATATTAGCTATTAGTTAGTGCACAGTTATGGCCACTGCTGAATATAGGCCTCTCTTATAAGCGAGATTTGGCCAGTAGCTGCCACGCTTGGCAGGCGCATTGGTTAAACCCAGTTAGGCTTTGGTGATGCTCTATGAGGGGCGCTGCTACCCGTCCCTCGGTCATTTAGTTCCCTTAGTCGCCTCTTAAGACATACATTTACCAGAGGGAGACTGTACAAAAATCGTTTTGCTTGGGTACCTCTGTCCCGTTCGTGTTTCAACCGTAGAGCAATTGTGTTTGCATGGCTGTGTTTCGGTTTGAAGGGTGGGACAAGGCGTGAATTTACAGGGTACAGAGGAATAACACCTGAGTCCTCAGGAATGGCAACGCATGGGGGGTATCATGGGCATAACAGTATACTCTGTTATGTCCATGGTACTGCTCATGTCTATAGGCGACGGTTACCACTTTCCATCAGGTGGGCCGTCAGTTTGTTTGCCATTCTAAGTTGTATAAAAAAAATACGAAAAAAGAAAGGGTGGCCTATTCTATTCCAAGCCAAACGGCTGGCTTTATTTTATAAGTACACTTTGAATTTAATTTACAAACAAAATGTTAGGCTTAAAGTGTTCAATCTTATTCTACTACAATATATCCATAATTAATAACATAAGTTACTTTGTGTTCGAAACGAGGACTTTTAATAGACATTAAGCACTCTCTTTTTGTGTTAAACTTATTCGCTAGTAGTTTGTTGTTTTTATAATTTCCACAAACTTTCTAATAAGCTTAATGACTTTCAGCTGAGTTCCACTAAATTATAAATAAGAGAAGCGCTAAAAGCCCGCGAGTGTATTACTGACGTTTTTAGTATTTCCGTTTGTTTTAACTCGGGGTCTTCAAGTTTTGTTTGACGAAATCCTTGCTAATATTTTATTATGAATGTGGACGTTTATTTGTATCTTTGTTCTTGGTAGTTTAACGGCTCGACTAATCGTCATGTAACGTCTACACTACATTTTGGTATGAAGAAGTATATTAGATAGATACTCTTTATTGTTTCTTCTAAAAGATTACAATAGTAAACTTATAATAGATACAAACAATTACAAGAAATGATTACAGTAAGAAAACAATAGGTAGTGTTATCGCTCAAAAGCAAAAGCGGTCTCTTCCAGACAACCTTTGGATGGAAAGGAGTAATTGAATGAATAAATGAATTGTTATTTACTAAATATTGGTTATAAAAAATTTTGTTTGAGGTCACTGCCAACTGGTAAGGTATCTAGGAGACTTGTTGTATTTCCACGCTGGATGGCTTTGGAGATGCGCCGACCAAAGTATGTATAGGCCAGCGTTCTGGTTGCCAGGTGGTGTTAAATTTATTATTAAAAACGTATTTTATAAATTTACGTTAACAATCTACGTGCTCGCTATAAAAAAAGAAGTTATAAAAATATTAAACAGATTGTCACTTTTTAAATTTAAAAAGTTTCTAGTTTTTAAAAGTTTAAACAACGTTTTCGTGTGACAACTTTTTCAATATTTGATAGTGTAGTGGTTAAGTTTTGTTGATTTTAAGTTTTTAATTTGTATCTGGGCGTTAAGTTGTTTTTATATTTAATAAAAAAAAGTATTCCCATACTTGATCCTATTAATATTATAAACTAGCGGCCCGTCCCGGCGTCGCACGGGTGGATATTTTTAACATTTCCCTTCACTGCTCTGCTCCTATTGATCGTAGCGTGATGAAAAGTATACTATAACCTGCCCAGGAGTATGAAGAATAATTGTACCAAGTTTCGTTATAATCCGTCGAGTAGTTTTTGTTTCTATAACGAACATACAGACAGGCAGACAAAAATTGTACTGATTGCATTTTTGGCATCAGTATCGATCACTAATCACCCGCTGATAGTTATTTTGGAAATATATTTCATGTACAGAATTGACCTCTCCACAGATTTATTATAAGTATAGATATGAACATTTGTAAACAAGTTTATGTTATTTGTAGGATACTCGTATATATCGTGTTCCACGACGGTAACCACTTACCATCAGGTGGGCCGTATGCTTGTTTTCCTCCTCCTCGACCTCCCTTCTTTGAAAACTCATGATCGTATATACTTACTTTATATGAATTTTACAAGGTTAAGTATCCTGAAGCCTACACGGGAACGGGTAGTTTCAATTTTATTGGCCGCTTCGGGAATTTCATTACGGAGTGAACTCCGATTCTTAACTGAACCGTAACTAATTAGTTCTGCTTCGTTCGTTGTTATTTATTTTGGCAAACTCCCTAATTATGTTCCACCTAAAGCGTGCACGTTTATACCAGTGTTGCCATATAATCGTTCTACAGCGTTTATTAATGTTTTAATAATTTAAAAATCGATTATGTAATCAATTATTTGTTAATAATAGATTAACAATACTATTAAAAATATATTTTTTTTTTACTAGGTGATAATGGAATGGTAACACCGCCTGCGCTAACGGTATACGCTGGCGGGGCACCAGTGAGGGATGATAGGTGACGATGAAAGCAGGTCAGTTAGCCTATCGTGACGAATTGCGTTAGAATTAGCCACGATGATATCCAGGGGGAACCACGTGGAGGTCGACCTGATAGGGTGTATTGCTAGCAATGGGGCAGTTAGACCCATATAGTGCAATAGAAGAATAATAATATATATTAGGTAATGTTTACTTACAGTATGCTGGGTCTATGTTCAGCATGCTGTAAGTAACCATTCCTCCATCCTCCATAGACAATACGCTTTAAGGAACAATCCTGAATCATCTGCATCCACTGACACTAACTGACAGCTGAGGCTTCTCTTACACTCGTTTGCCACTACCCATCGGTGTACCTAATAGGGGGGAAAGGGATTGTTAGTAATGGAGACTGAGAATCCCATTGCTAGCAATATACCCAACCAGGTCGACCTCCTCGCGGTTCTCCCTGGAAACTATAATGGTTAATTCCTGATGAATTCATCATGATAGGCTAACTGGCCTGTTTCCATTCTCATCTATCACACTTCACTGGTGCTCCGCCAGCGTATCCCGTTAGCGCAGGCTACCATACCATTTTCACCCATAAAAATAAAAAAAAAAACCCATCGGTGTGTTAAGTAAACATCTATAACGGCGATATCTTCAGAATTTAATAATGCAATATTAGAAAGCTTTTAAAACAATAATATTGTGTTAACTCTAAACTATTTTCGCGTGTAATCATAAAGTTTGGTTATTCGACCACTCAGTTTCAGAGGTAGAAACTATTCAGTGAATTTCAAACTATTGACATGTATATAAATGTATTGATATTGTGAAAGTTTTGTGTTCTGTATGCAATAATTTATTGCTAGAATGAAAGACGATGTAGTGTATTTAAAAGGGGATGTTGCATTGGTTTGGTCGTTTGGATAGGTTTTTTTATTATAGGTGAAAATGGTATGGTAACCCCGCCTGCGCTAACGGTATACGCTTGCGGAGCACCAGTGAAGGCTGATAGATGAGAATGAAAACAGGCCAGTTAGCCCATCATGATTAATTCATCAGGAATTAACCATGATAGTTTCCAGGGAGAACCGCGAGGTTGACCTGGTTGGGTATATTGTTAGCAATGGGATTCTCAGTCTCCATTATTACCAATCCCTTTCTCCCCTCCGTTTGGATAGGTTGGATGAAAGAAGTGTTTCGTCCAATACAGCGAAGCTATATACTGAGTTGTGGCCTTTTTATATTATTGCGATACATATATAATCTTTTTTCTCCATTATGATGTTGTGGAAGCTATAATTTTATTGTTTTTTTTTTAAGATTTTACATATATTCGATTGGAGCTTAGAAATAAATGTTATTTTTTTTAAATAAATTTACAACTCTCCTTTTAATGATGGAAACTCTTCGGTAGAGGTTAATGGATCATAATAGATTGGTAAATCAATACGCGCTGTTGATTTTTTTTATAATGAAATCACCAGGAATTAATTATAAGGGTTTCCACGGAGGATCGCGTCGAAGTCAATCTGTTAGGGTATATTGTTTGCGATGGGGCTATTAGTCCCCTATTACTTATATATTGAGAATGTTAACACAGATTTAAAAGAGTAACTTGTGAGTTTCTTGCGGGTTTATCTTAGTAGATAACAAGTATCCGAACCCAGCAGTAGTTTTATACAAAATGACGGTTTAAAGTATTCACAAACAAGTCTATTTGACTTTATTCAAATTTGATTGAAATATAAAAAAACCAATTATTTTACAGTGATTCTTTATTTGACGTGTTTACATCCATTATGGCATTACATATTGGACAAATGTTTCTATTTACAACTGTATATCATTATATACATTGTTTTCATTATACAATACATACATACATAATTTTATTTATGTATTTCAATTATATCAATTCAGGGCCTTTCAATCAAAACTGTATTTTCAGGGACGATTACCTGATATCATGCATCACACATCACTGAAATCACATGTGAATCTAAAATGTGAATATTGTATAATTTTTAAATATACGTGTTAGAATTTAAGGTATTCGTTTAATGTAGTGAAAATAATAAAAAAATAACACCAGCAATATTTTTTCAGGTCGAAGCTGAGCGGCGTAGGAACGTTCGCGGGACAAATGCGTCGCGTGTGAGTGGGCGCGCCTCGCGTGTGAGTGCGCGCGTGTCGCGTGTGAGTACACGCACGTCGCGTGTGAGTACGCGCACGTCGCGTGTGAGTACGCGCACGTCGCGTGTGAGTACGCGCGTGTCGCGTGTGAGTACGCGCGCGTCGCGTGTGTTGCGTGGTGCGCGGTGTGCGCGGGCATGAGCGCGCATGCGCGCTAGCGAGCGCGATGCAACGCGCGCGCAACGCCGTCGCCCACCTCGCGCTGCTCGTGTTGGCGCATTTGACGCCGCCAGGTATGTTGCTTGCTACACTTACAAAGAACCTCGCCTTTTTCAGTCACTATTGACGATTTTAATGATTAATTACTGCTATTAACTTTGAGTGAAATATTAGTCAATATTGCAAATACGTCATTATCATTACAATTACAAGATTGATGGAAAGTGATAAAAAAATTAATTATTATTTAATTAAACCTTATTTATTTTTCGACGTTTTATATTTTTTAATTCTATATAATATACAAATGAGGTTACTAAAGCCTACTCAACGCCTGTAACACCAGAGACTTCAAGCGTGCGTTGTCGTTTCTTAAGAAACCTTATTACGCCGTTTTCGAAGAACCCGATAAGAACTTAGATGGAAAGTCGGAAATATCTATACTTGTTTACCTTTTGTGCACAGTCATTGTGTATGTAACGTAATACAATACAAGATTAACGCGACCAATTTGTAAATACTAAGAAACGATAAAGCGAATCGTCTTACGGGAATATTCTAGAAAAGAAATGTCAAATACACGAATTTTGGGGGGGAAAAAAATATCAGCGGGCATTGTGAATTCGCCGACAAAGGATACCGGCCGGATTAATCTCGCGCAGGCAGGGACGACTTTTCGAAATGTATAAAAAGGCAGCGTCGACACCGCACTAGCCAAAAATTGTTTTATCTCGCAACTTCCCTCCCCCGCTGACAGAAAGGGCGATCCTTATTGAAATTGAAAAGTCTTCGAGGGTTCGCCCGTATGAATAAACTTGATAAAATTTACCTAATCGTAAAAAACTTGGGGGCACTTTGACTGTGTTGAATGTAGCCAGTTATGGTTGTACGGTACGTTGTCAATCACTGAATTACCTAGGCACTTGGTATGTATTTTAGATAATTTTTTAGCAATTAAAAAAAAGGGGAGAGGTTTTTTTATTCGATGAATGAATGATATCTCTTTATTGTTCCCTTCAAAGAATGATACAGATTATAAAGATCAACAATATGTACACAAACAAAATTAAAATTTTAATACATAAACTAAGTTACAGAAATTGTTGATATTTTTTTTATGTTTGTTACTTCATAATTCCACCAGTTATAAACCGATTTGGAAAAGTCTAAATAATAAAATAAAGGTTTTCTTTCCTAAATATAATCCTTATACTACCAAAAACAAAAAACAAAAAATTTCAAACATAAACGAACGTATATTATAATAATAGGTGTATACATACTTTTTACTGTACAGTACTGTGGTACAGATACAAGATATTCTGTTTCTTTTTTCTAAAAATAAAAAATATTATTTACAGAGGAATAACACCTGAGTCCTCAGGAATGGAAACGCATGGGTGGTATCATGGGCGAAACAGTATACTCTGTTACGTCCACGGTACTGCTCATGTCTATAGGCGACGGTTACCACTTTCCATCAGGCGGACCGTCTGCTTGTTTGCCATTCTAAGTTGTATAAAAAAAGAGGTATATAATCGTAATGATACCTTACTTCAACTACTTAAATTCAATAACATATTTTATTAATCAACGTTACATATTATATTGTTATTCGCCGTGTGGTCCCAGCATAGAATAGGCCACCCCTTTCTTTCCTATCAGTGTCGTAAGTAGAACATAATAGTCGAGGGATAGGCAGCAGCGACCCTCTTAAAACCCATTCAAGAAAAGAACATATTCCTTTTTAAAAGGCCGGCAGCACACCTGAAATGACGTTGGTGTTGTGGGTGATCATGGGCGGCGGTAGTCACTTACCATCAGGTGAGCCACATGCTCGTTTGCCCCCTGTGTTGTAAAAAAAAATCTTCCAAAGTCGTAACTATGGCTGCCAACCCGCCTGTTAAACGCGGTAACTAATGACAAAAACCTTAATACGGGAAGGCCTATGTTTTTATTTTTATTTTTAATGAATGATAATTGTATGGTAACCCCGTATGCGGCTATCGGTATACACTAGCGGGCCATCAGTGATAGATGACTGATGAGGATGAAAGCAGGTCAATTAGCCCATCCTGACGAACTCAACTAGAATTAGTCACGATGGTTTCCAGGGGGAACCACGTGGAGATCGACTTGACAGGGTATATTGCTAGTAATGGGACTATTTGGCTCCATTACTAACAATCCCTTTCCCTCCGGAAGGCCTATGTTCAGCAGTGAAGAGTTAACAGCTGTAATAACGATGTTAATGACAAGTGATACACTATAAAATAATGATAGTTTATACAAGGCTTGTAGTATTCGATAGTTTAAAGACTATTTGTTGTGAATAACGGATTATTAATCCATCCATAGTTAATACGAAACATAGTTTACGAACGTTTCTGAACGGAAGTTAATCGACAGTCTACGTTGGGGTGAGAGAGATCAAAGCTATCGTACCGTTAGCTAAATAGAACTTGGTTATTTTACGAGACACTAGCTTTTACCATCGACTTCGTCCTCGCGCTTGGGATATATCAACTGACTGGAATAAATTATAGTCTTATATACCAGAGGGAGACTTTGTACAAAAGTCGATTGCTTGGGTACCTCTGTCCCATTCGTGTTTCAACCGTGAAGCAGTTGTGTTTGCATGGCTGTGTTTCGGTATGAAGGGTGGGATATGGCGTGACTTTACTGGGTACAGAGGAATAACACTTGAGTCCTCAGGAATGGCAACGCGTGGGGGATATCATGGGCGAAACAGTATACTTTCTTATGTCCATGCTGCTCATGTCTATAGGCGACGGTTACCACTTTCCATTAGGTGGGCCGTCAGCTTGTTTGCTATTCTAAGTTGTATAAAAAAAAAAGTTTACATTAATTTAATTTAAATAACTTTATTGACCAAAACAAAATAAGGTACAAAAGGCGGATTTAATGCTAGTAGCATTCTCTAGCAGTCAATCTTTTGCAACACTGAATCATGAACGCGGTACTTGCCAGCTCGTTTGCCATGTATATATATATATATATATGTGTGTGTATATGTATATCGCAATATATACATTACACATACATATATATATATATTGGATGCAGATGCTTCAGGATCATTCTTTATGGCAGTTTATGGGGGAAGCCTACGTTCAGCGGTGGACAGATGATGGTTGAGACAATGATGCTATATATATATATATATATATATATATATCTATATGTGTGTGTGTCACAAGATAGGTGTGTAAAAATGTGTATAAATCTAAATTGTTTATGTATCTAACTTCACGACACAGGGAATCCTTATATGAAGTTATGGGAACAAATGTAAAATTGAAACATGTATTTTTGGATTAAATAAATATGATAATTATTATTATATTATCTGAGATAAAACTAGGAACCCATATGAAACATACATTGATTCACGCAGGCAAAACCGCGGAGTATAGTTAGTTGTAAGATAAACTGAGATATCAGTTAGTGAGTATAACGATAAATACAGCAGGATATAAAGTCAACAGAATTAAATCAGCAGCAATAAAATAAAAGGACCAATGTCTGTTGAGAATGGCTCTGCAAGTAGCAACCGTTTACGAGTATGACGTATGAGCCCGCCGTCAGTACTTGCATTAAAAGAAACAACTCTATTGCAAAAACAAGTTATAAAGATTTTTATGTGACTTAGAATTATAAACAATAATAATAATAGATAAATGATGTCTATGATATCCTATGATAACGAAGTATTTAATTTTAATTCAGAATACTTTTAGGCGTAACTTGTATAAGAGAGTATGTATAGATAGTTTTTGTATCAGTATTTTAAAGTTTCCTAATTTGTATTTAGAATGTTTAAAATTGACAAATGTCTACATACAATTTTTTTTTATTTAATTTTTAGGAAAGGATTTAAAAAAAAATATTATTTCATTAGTTCACCTGTACTGTGCAAAGAGTATATATTTAGTGCAAATATGATTTTCAGATCACTATTAGTTCTTTTTTGTAAATAAAATATAGATAAAAAAAACAACAACTTAATGACGTTGGAACAAGACTTCAATTAGAATCTTGGAAATATTTTAAATTAAAAAAAAAAATAAAAACTTAATTTTCTCTTACTCGAGAAGCTTACAGCCTTACATAATGAATAAAGCTTCTTCTGCTCTGAATTACTACGTAAATTAACATTAAATGTAACCTATCAAGTCAAAAAGGCATAATCCTTCTTTATTAACTTTCTAGTGCCATCGAATTATCGATGAAGTTAGTTTCTTTGACGAGCTAGTAATAACTTTAATACCCTTTCAAAAATTTTTAATATCGATTGATTTTCAAATAATATTATATGAGCGAGAAATCAACTGATCAAGCACTTTTACAAATGTTTATTATAGTGATATGAAGCCCATAACTTACTTGAGAATTTACATTTAGTTTTTATTTTTTCATGCTTTTGTTTGTTCCTATTATTTCTCTCTGTGTTATTTTGTATGTAGTACCGTTAAACTAATAATTTTTTTACTTATTTATGACAACCTGTTAGTAGCTTAGTTTGTAATCCTAGACTATAATCCTAGACATCTATATATTCTTTATATATATAAGTAAAAAGTATTGTTGGTTAAACAGTGCATCATATTTGGAACAAGCGTAGTGGAAAAACAAAATTTCCAACCCTATATTTATGAACATCCCAAACTTCGGTACAAAAGATACGCAAGATAAAACTGTATATATTACCTTTCCCTACACCGTCGTGGTCCTACACATTGTACTTACAAAGAACGTAGGTACAATCTTGTTTAGTTTTATTTATGTCCCAAAATATTCCGACAAGGGCACTGCTCAGGTCGTCCCACGGGGCCGCCTAACTACCGAATAGTTCGCGTCATTGTGCATACTCTACAGGGGTTAGTTTTGAACTAAAGCAATTGTTGGCCTTCTCCAAGTCCCAACTTGTTTGGATGGCGATAATACTTTAGTTTATGTATGTTTCGCATTTTAGTAGTTTTTATCATGTGGCCACATTCACACTCTAGGGTATAAAAACATCTAGAATCTAGACTAGAGGGATGAATGTAGG